ATATATCGTAGGTGCGCACAACGACTGTCTGTGAAGAGCGACTCCGTGTAGCCAGAGTCGGGCGAATGGACGCTTTGCATGCTTGGATACCGGTGGAATGAGTCAACCGCAAGAGTCAGCCGGCAGGAGAGTCTGCGTGTCATGATACAGGGTACGTGGGCGACAAAGGGGGGTGGGCGCCAGGGTGTTGGGATCTTGTTTGGCATTGTGTCAGCACAGGCAGCCAGAAGGGGGGAGGGAACGGCAAAGTCTGGATGGATGATGGCGTGGCAGCGACGACAAATGCCACGATGGAATCAGCGAAAGAGGCCCAACATCGACGTGTGATTTTATGTTAGTCAATGGGTACCCACACACGTAGGAGTGTTTCTTTTTTCCTAGTCTTCGCTGGTCCATCCGCCCTCCACGCCCAAAAATAGTGCTCCCGCCTGTTAGTGCACTCGGGGACGGGGGAAGAAAGGGTGGGTGAATGAATAGGTATCGAGGTACCCAAGTTTGCTGCGATGAAAGGAGATTGCACTTGGTGTTGTGTGTGTGTGTCGTGTCCAGTGGTCGGTCCATGGGCACTTGCAGAGACAGCTCCATACTTGCCATTGGGTCTTGGGACTATCTGGATTAGCTTACGGCCGGCCTCCTTTTGAACTCGATATAGCCCCGGATCGTTCGTTGCCAGACCGTTTCTGGAGAACGACGCGTCTGACGCGTGCAAGTTTCAAGCTTATTAGTGGACACAAGAGCCCATCATACCGATACGCAAGTGTGAGAGTAAGACCCGAGAGATATTGGACAAGGGCTTGTGATATTGGAGAAAGACAGACACGGGTAAATTCAGGCGTACGGATGCGACGCGCGACAATCCACCAGTCGCGCGCCACGCCACATCACGCTCTGCCATGCAATCAATTAAATGATGGAATGTTACTACCAGGTTAATTCGCACAATCGTATCAATCCCGAGTGGAAACATCAGTGCATGTTGTCTGGACTCGCAGGGTGCTGAGGACCTTGTTTGCCCTTGTGATGAGGGGCCCTGGGAGGACAACCAGGTCCCTGGCGATAACGGGGCGGTGGCATTTCGAGAACCACAGATGATGTTCCCAGTAATCCCATCTCGGCCCCCTTCCCCCGACGCGTCGACGCGTGCGATGGGTGATTGATGGGAAAGACATGCCGGCCTATCAGACGGACGGTCTCGGGGTTCCCACACCGGTCAGGGTCACATCGAATGACCGAGGACTGGTCAGAGTGACTGAATGCAGGCAGGCCTGAACGGAACGAGTATCAGAACAAGGCAGGCTTCACTTGAGTAGCTTCACTGAGGCCAACTTACTCGGCACTCATTCTCCGCCATGGGTAGCAGCAACTCGCTGCTGATTCGCAACTACTGCTACGTAATCCGCCCCATCTGGACTTGGCAGCGGCGACCCAGAGGCGATGTCGCCGGGAGGGAGAGAGACTGGATGATGGCCGGGCTCTCGGAAGAGAGTGTATTTGGTTTTTCAGTACTGATTCGCGTGGTGGCAACTCTGTTGAGAAATGCGACCCTACGCTACTGTTACACCCAATGACTTCCGGAGCATCCAAACCAGATTTCAAATTAAATCAGTGTTGGTGGTGTGCTCAGTGGGCGAGAGGGTCGACATGCACACGAACACATGCAATCTATCCTCTGATATGGCAGCACGCAACCATTTGCGAGAGGTGTTCGCACTCGTCTGTCCCTTTCGCCTTAAAAGTGACTGACAAGGTCGCATTGCGTGTGTCTGAAGTCCAAACTTTTCCAGTAAAGGTAGGTGTACGGAGTATATACAGCGTAGTACCTAGGAAGGGGTTGGGGGATTTTTTTTTCTTTTTTTTTTGAATAATAATAATAATAATCAGGCGCACGTGTCAGCCTCTCCGTGGCGCCGGGCAACTGCAGGGATACGAGCTCGGGCAGGGTAGGGATGTTTTGGGAGGCCCTTGTCAAGCGTTGGCTTTTACTCCTTGTCGAGAAACCAGGGTCTGTTGTTTGAAACCGACATACGGAATGAATTAGATTTTTTTCTCTCCTTCTTGTCCTTCCCTCCTTTTCCGTCTCGCTCCATCTGGAGTCCCCCTCCCCCGGCTGTGGTGTTGCTGTTTCTCAGACTCGCTACGGGGTTTGCAGGCCCGTGCGCGGATGCGCCATCTTTGGCAGACGGTAGAACTTTCAATAGTCATGGCCACTATTGCAGGATGTGTGTCCCTCTTTAAAGCTGCAGGATAATGGTGGCCTATACAGGTGCCTGGCGATACGAAAGACGCCAGAGCTGCATGTTGCAGTAGTAGATGGTATAGTGACGCAGAAGACTGCTTGTGAGTTTGAGTGTCGGCTAGCTGGGAAGGGAGTCCGCGAAATCTGTGTCCGCAATGCACCTGCGACCGAGGGAAATGCTGCCAGTTTAGCAATCATGCAGCATAAACTCAACTCTACCACCTCGGGATGAATCTCGGATAAGGAGTCGAGGCTTGGCTGGGGAAAAGAAAGAGCCGCTTCCGGACCAATCGTTGATTGTTATGAGTGGCAACTGATGACTTCGATATCTGACAAGCTGGTGTGCAAGACATGGAAGACTCTCGACTCCCAAAAGTGCGTAAGGAAGACGTAGTTGACCCCGTCGACCCACCCGGTTGTTTGTAAATTCGCACACACACACAGCCTGCCGATATAGTGTACCGGAAAGGAGCCTTCTTAAAGCACCCAGGCAACCAGACAAAAGACCTAGGGCGACGCGACACCGAAGACCATGTGTAGCTTCACAACGCACCATGGGAACATGCATGGGTGCCGTATAGGGCAAGTCCAGTCGAGGACAGACAACTGACGAAGGCGACGAACAAGAAGGAAGCGAAGGGAAGAAAAAAAGAGAGGAAAAATAAATAAAACACCCACCACATTGTCGCGGAAAAAAAGGGTCCTGGGGTTTGCTGCCCAGGATGGAAATAGGAGCAAGGGTCTGTCCTTCCTCCAGCCTTTCTGTGGATACCCAAATCACATCTGCTACCACTTTGCCCTCTGCATGGACATTTCGCGTCGTTACCAGCCCGAGACTGAAGACAGACAACCCGAGGTGATAACCTGGAATGGACGTGGTGCGTGCCCCTTTTCTTCCTTTCTTTGCCGTGTATCGCCATGTACCTGAAGCTAAGGCGGTACACAATGCGCTGAGTCCGGGCCAGGTCAGAGTCAGAAATTGGGTAAAGAAAGGCATGCAAGCAAATCCGAGTCCTGGCCTGACACACCCAGCTACGTGTATCGAGAACCGGCCTCTATCTCTCGCTTGCCCACCCACAGAGCCCGGATTAGGCAGCATGTCAACGTCCTCTTGTCCTCTCTAGGGTTGGCCAGGGCGGCGAGATGGACATGCTGAAAATTGCCCTTCTTGAGCACCGGGTCGTCTTGCCGTAGGATGGCCTTCTTTCGAGGAGGCCACGAACCCAAGACATGTCACATTATTGACACACCAAATCGAGCAGAATGTCAAGTTGGGCTTTGTTCGTACCGTCTTTTGTGTGTTTCCGCTGAATGTTCCATGCCCAACAGGGCGTTGGGAATATGTGGCTGAGTGCCTGGCCCAAGAACAAATTGGAAGCTACTTTGGCCGACGCAACTCAAGACAAAGGCAATGAATGCCATGGCTCAGTCAAACGTTTTCCTCATATAGAGAGAGAGAGAGAGAGAGAGAGAGAGAGAGAGAGAGAGAGAGAGAGAGAGAGAGAGAGAGAGAGAGAGAGAGAGAGAGAGAGAGAGACCACCCGAGGGAGGACACAGATGGGTATGCATTATTCACCTTTTGCCCATCCACACTGTCGGTTGTGTGTGGTGAATGAGGGTCAGATACCGTGCTGATAAGCGAGTGCTTCGGCCAGCAACGCACTGTCATGTCCGCTAAAAGGAACGGGCTGGGGGTGCGCGTGCTGCTGGGTAGTACAGTGGATAAGCGCGGTAGGGTGTAGAGGTAGGACGGTGCCCCCCTCTGTAACTGGTAGACGGGGTCTGGGGGGCACAGTGTGTTTTTCCCTTTTTCTTTCACTTGTTCTTCTTCTTCCTATCTCTGGTATTCGATGATGGAACAGGACAGTGAACAAGAAAGTCGATTTTGCTCCTAGGACGGGATAGAAGTAAACTAATAGGTGAATGATTGGTTTTACGTGTGTGTGGGTTGGAGTGAATTAACTCCCGTCGGGGCCAGTGATGGAGTGTGGGCACAGCGCGGGCTTATGATGGGGTACTTTTACCAATGTACCTTTTTTTCTTCCCTGGGTCTTCCCTCCTACTCGCACCCACACACGCACCGCCGCACACTGCGCTCACCCAGTCAAGGTTCCACGCCATATTATCTCCTCCTCCAAATTTTTTTTGGTAGTTTCTCCTTCCAAATCTTTCCCACCACAAACACCGAAACTGGTCCAGGTGGATAATTTCTCACCAGAGACCCTTTCTACGTCAACAGTTTCTTCTGTATTTTCCCATTCAGAAGACAACTCTCACCTCCTCTGTAATACCCGCCGGTCGCAGGAACACCTTTATTTGGTTTCTTCCATAGACCGCTGCGAAGGCCGACAGACCTTGCCCCCTCCTCTCTGCGCTCTCCACCCGCCGTCGCCTAGCGATATTTCGTTGCTTTCGTCGAGGAATCCACGACCACTTCCCCTCCGCAACAACAGAAAAAAAAAATCCCTCCAACCACCGCCTTTTGGACCGAATCGATTCTCTGACCGATCTGATCCATTCTATCTTGGGATTTTTCTCTTCTTCGGCTCCGAGTTATTGACCCAGTCATTCATTCTTGAATTTCTGCGATCTGCCACGCACCCCCTCGTCGAATCTGAGATTCGGTACCCGAGCGATTGTTCTAGTTGCGACAGTTCGACTACTTTTTTGTCGACCTCTTTTCGCAACCTCGTACATCATCCGACACGGTTCCTTCATCAAACGCTATTCTTCTCACGACACGCGCTACGACGAGATTTCACATATGACTTCGACTGCCAGCCCTCAGTCCAATCCGGCGCCCAACACCTCCGCTGCGACTTCGGCTCCTTCATATGCTTCCGCTGCCGGTGCGAACAAGAAGCAAGCCTCCACGCCGCTGATTGCGACTGGATCCAACCCACCTGTGGTGGTCGGTGGCTCCTCTGCGCAAAATGCAAAGCCGTCTGCTCCGTCACCAGTAAATGGTCGTCAATCCATCACTCCTGCCGTGCCCGCTGCCCCAGCAGTCGCTCACGGCTCTTCCAACAACAACACTATGAACGGAAACGCACCCGATCACGCCCGCAAGAGCTCCGTCACTCTTAGTGCCAACGGCCCCAACAGCTTCGCTCCCAACGGCGGCCCTGTCGGTGGCTCCAAGCCCGGCATCCAGTTCGGCTACAACTCTCCCGCCGTCGCGCACAGCACTCCCCAGACCACGGCTGCTCCGATCCCCATTCCCGGATCCAACAACCAGCGCGTGCCTTCTCCTGCGCACTCTCCCTCTCCTATCCCTCAGCCCTCTGCCAGCGGCGGCCGCCCCCCCTCCGGTATGGCTCCGTCTAACGCCATGACGTTTGGCAGTCTCGGAAGCGATGGCGATGTAAGTACCAGCCGCATCAACATGCCCGGACACCGTGCTCGTGAGCCCGACACTGACATCCACTACTTGCAGCGCCACATGAGACAAGCCTCCACTCCTCAGACCCAAGCCGCTCTGCCTGCGCAGCCGGGATCGCACATTCGTCGGGAATCCGGTGTTTCTCAGCACAGCGATGCTGCTGGGCCCAACCAAGGTCCCAACCGTCAAGGTTTCCAGCCTCAGGGCGGCCGTGGTCGTGGTTTCAACCCCCACCAGCCCCCTTACAACGCCAATATGGGATTTCCCCCGAACCAACAATACCGCAACGGTCAGGGCCGTGGCGGCATGCCGCCTGCCTTCCACCCCGGAAGACCGATGCAACCCTACCCCAACTCACCTCAGCCGGCCCGAAGCCCTGCTCTGGCCCAGTCCCAGCCGGGGACCCCGAATATGCCTCCGGCGCAGATGCACCCGATGCCCATGGCTACTCCTCCTCAGTACCATTATCCGCCTCCCAATATGGCGCAACCACAAGTACATCCCCCTCCCTTTCAAGATGTTTTCATTCCGTCGACTTTGGCCCCTCCGTTCGTCCCGTCTTCCAAAAGCAAGAAGAAGAAGAATCAGTATCAGCATTTGGAGAAGTTTCCCCACAAGTCTCGATACACGGATTCTTCGTATGGCATGCCTTTTGATAACAAGCCTCGGCGCTTCAGTGAGCACGCAGGGCAGATTTGGGTCGCCTCCGACAGGCCGAGTCTGAGCTACCACACAGACTTGGGTAACCCAAACCGTGTCGAGCGGGGCCATGTGTCGTCGAACGAGTTGTCAACTTCTTCTCTTCCCTCAGACCCTCAAATTGATATTTCTCCTCAGAGCGATTACTACGAGAGATTGCTAACAAACGCAAAGCAGCAGTACGGCTACCCTCCCCAACCCACTCAGTACGACCAGTTCGGCCGACCCATGTACTACAACCAGATGGGATACATGCCTTCCCCTCCTGGTGGGCCCCCGGCTTTCCAGCCTGGCTTCGTGCCTCCTCCTTATCACCAACCTGCGCCGGCCGCTATGTCGCGCACCTCTTCTCACTCTGAGCGGCCTTCTTCCAGCACCGGCCAGCCGAGTCAGCCCGTCGTTGTCTCTGGCACCCCCCAGCCCCAGAATGCTCAAGTCAAGGCCCCGATCGTGGCTTCGTCATCTGGTAACTTTGTTCGCCCCAAAAAGAGCGCTGCCATTGTCATCAAGAACGCTGCTGGTGAGGCTGTCGACTTCAAGAGCATCAAGACTCCTTCTTCGCCTGCCCCTAGCATTCAGCAGTCCAAGACTCCTCCGATTGTAACCTCCACCCCCACCCCTCCCCCCAAGTCGGCCACGCCCTCCCATACCCGCGCCGACAGCCAGGCAACTCCCAAGACTCGTCAAGAGATCCAGGATGAGCTGAGAGCTAAAATCCAGCAGGCCAAGGGAGGAGAAGACAAGGCGAAGGAGGAGGCTGACGCTAAGGCCAAGGCCGTCGAAGAGGAGAAGAAGGCCGCCGAAGCCAAGGCTGAGGCCGAGGCCAAGGCCAAGGCTGAGGCTGAAGAGAAGGCCAAGGAAGAGGCCCGCAAGGCTGAAGAAGAGGCGGAGGCCAAGCGCAAGGCCGACGAAGAAGAGAAGGCCAAGGCCAAGGCTGCCGAGGAAGAGAAGGCGGCTGCTGAGGCAAAAGCAAAGGAAGAGGCCGAGAAGAAGGCGGCTGAGACGCCTGCTGAGCCCGCCGCTACCGAGGAAGACGAAATGGAGCGTATGATCCGCGAGATGGAGGAGGAAGACGCACGTCGTGAGAAGGAGGCTGCCGAATACAACGCGAAGAAGGCAATCGAGAAGGAGGCACAGAAGAAGGCCGAAGAGGCTAACAAGGCCACCAATGCCGCCGAGGCAGACCGCAAGCTCCGCGAGGCCGAGCGTGAGATGGAACGTCTCGAAGAGGAGAAGGAGAGAAAGCGTGCTGAGGCTGCTGGATCCTCCGTCGCCGAGCTTCTCGCAAAGACAAAGGCCGGCGTAGATGAGCCCGCCAAGGTTGGTGATGTCGCCGATAAGCTTTCCAACCTCAGCATCGGCGATTCCAAGGCCTCTACTCCCACCGAGGCTTCTGCGCCCAGGGCCACTCCCACCGAGAAACGCGGCGCCAAGCCGTCTCCCCTTAACCTGGCTCCCCTCAACACCAAGCCTGTCGAGGCGCCTCAGCCCAGTGCTGCTCTCCAGTCTTTGAAGTCTGCTCGTTTCTTGTCCGTCATGAACCAGGACTTGTACCCCTCTGGTATCAGCTCTCCCAACCCGGCCTTGAACGCCGCGGTTGCCAAGAAGGGCAAGACCTTCAAGTACGACGCTCAGTTCCTGCTGCAGTTTCAAAAGGTCTTTACCGAGCAGCCCTCCACTGAGTTCCACCAGCAGGTCAAGTCGCTGATTGGCGACAATGATGGTTCTCGCTCCGCGTCTACTCCCCGCGCTGGCTCCGGCCGCGGCGGCTCCCAGCGCGGCACCACTGCACCCGCAAACGCCATTGGTAGTTTCCGAGCTCCGTCTAACAACGTCCGAGGCACCACCTCTGCCGAGCGGTTCGCCATGGCCAACGCTGCTATGGGCTCAGGAGGAGGTCCCGTCGGCAACATGGGCACTTTCCGTTCGTTCCCCGGTCCCCAGATGGTGCGGACACCCTCCTCCTCCAACGTGGGACCCAACTCTCCCAGAACCCGTTCCGCAAGAGGAGGCGGTGGCAGCAGACGCAACGATTACAACCCCAAGGAGGCGCAGGCGGCCAAGACCATGCCTCTTACTGCGGGCATGGAGCTCAAGCCTATCACGGTTTCCGCTACTGGTTGGAAGCCTACCAGCATAGGCAAGAGCACCACTTCGGGCCCTACGCCTGGCGCCGACCACATGGATCCCGGGATGGTCCAGCGCAAGGTCAAGGCTGCTCTCAACAAGATGACCCCGGAGAAGTTCGACAAGATTGCCGACCAGATCCTCGCCATTGCCGGCCAGTCCAAGGACGAATCCGACGGTCGCACCCTCCGCCAGGTCATTCAGCTCACCTTCGAAAAGGCCACCGACGAGGCTCATTGGGCGTCCATGTACGCCAAGTTCTGCAAGCGCATGCTTGACACCATGAGCCCCGAGATTCGCGACGAGAACATCAAGGACAAGAACGGCGTTGTTGTGAGCGGTGGCGCCTTGTTCCGCAAGTACCTGCTCAACCGCTGCCAGGAGGAATTCGAGCGTGGCTGGAAGGTCAACCTGCCTACCAAGCCTGAGGATGCTGACGAAGGCAAGCCCCAGTCATCGGAGGCTGCCATGCTCTCCGACGAGTACTACATTGCCGCTGCCGCCAAGCGTCGTGGTCTCGGTCTCGTCCAATTCATTGGTGAGCTCTACAAGCTCGGCATGCTCACGGAGCGCATTATGCACGAGTGTGTCCGCAAGCTTGTCGACTACGAGGGCGTTCCCGACGAGGCTGAGATAGAGTCGCTGTCCAAGTTGCTGAGAACCATCGGTTCCAACCTTGACGCTTCGGATAAGGGTAAGGCCTTGATGAACGTCTACTTCGACCGTATCCAGCAGATGATGGATATGCCCGAGCTTGCCAGCAGATTGAAGTTCATGCTTTTGGATGTCATCGACCTCCGTAAGAAAGGCTGGGCTTCTAAGGAAGCTAACAAGGGACCCAAGACCCTCGATGAGATCCGCGCAGAGGTATGCCATTCCACACTCCCCATCAGCAAGTTCCATGCTAACAGATATGACAGGCTGAGGCAGCTGCTCTGCAGAAGGCACAGGAGAACCAGCGCGGCGGCAGCCAGCGCGGACCCGGTGGCCGCCCCAATATGGGCCGCGGTGACTCTCGCAACTTCTCGTCCGGCTACATGCAGGCCCAGTCCAACCAGGTCGGTATGGATGACCTGCGCCGCCTGAAGGGCTCTACCGGCAGGACTGCCAGCGGCAACATCTCTCTTGGCCCCACCTCCATGTTCAGCTCGCGCAGCAACAGCGGTCGCAGACTTGGACCTGGCGGCTCCCTCGGCCGACCTGGTGAGGATTCTGGAGCTTCATCCCGCACCGGAACGCCGCCCACCACCCAACACACCAACGCCTTCAGGTAAACTCTCCTGGCCCACGCTTCCGTTTTCATAGACCAAGCTGCTAACAACGAGTACAGTGCGCTCGCCAACCTGGACAGCGAAAATCCGGCTTCTCCTCCTTCGACTGCTGCCTCTCCTGCACTGTCCAAGGTTGTTCCCGACAGCACTGCTGCCGAGAGCAAATGAAGAGAGTAGCCGAGCATTTCCTTTTCCATCAAGTCATTGCATTTCAGCAAATAGACAGGGGGCGGGGGCTGTTTGGTGCATTTACACTTAGGGTTCTCACAGTTCGTTTTCCAAAAGTTGCCCTGATCTTTGCGGCGGACCATGATACCTCGAGAAGAATACCGACATAGACGACTCACTGAGATGATCTCTCACCGAGAAGAGGGGGTTTCCGATATATTCGGAGTCCGGATGTAATCTTTTCTACTACGTTCGGTTCTCTCTTCAACCGACCGCATCCACCCCGATGCGGTCTCTCAACACATTGTGTTTTATTCCCTTTCTAATACGAGTTCACGACGCTTTATGGGTCATCTTTTACGTGCCTGGCTTACGTGGGGATGGGCGGGAAGTGGTTAGGAAATGTTTGGAACGCGGAGGGGGCCAGACGCACGGAAGAAGACGACGAGCTTGGGGACAGTCCATCCAGCAATGGAGAGCTTATGCGCACAAAACAGGCTGCGCGCGCTTTGCTCTTTTACAGGTGGACATCAAAAAGCATACAATGGAGCTTCGGCCAGGTCGTGGATCCTGGTTTTCTGCAAAAAAGGGAATTCCGGGATTTGTTCAGAAGATGATTTTTTTATCGTCTTTTTCCTTTTGACATTGGCTCGGTCACACTGGCAGGCCCTCTCTCACATTACGACACCTTGCGGCATGGCCCGGGAGGTGTTTCTCCCCAGTCGGAAAAGAACGGCGCGGTCTCAACATCTCTTGACTACACAGGAGATGCATTCCCAGTTGGAGAGCTCAAGCTGGGCTGGGATCACTGGTCGCCAACAGTGAGCTCGGTCACGGATTTGGGCATACCAACTGGAAACGGGGGTGGTAAAGTGGGCTGGCGCGAGGTAATTCGACCGGACGGGAGAGAGGAAAACCTGGATGCTTTTTCTCCGAACTTGTACATTTACTTCGGCAACGGAGCCGGGGCCCAGTGGACCAGAGTGATGAAAAGAAAAAGATTACATAGTTCACAGCTTTTCTTGTGTCCTTCCACACAGTTATTGGCACTTTGAGTAATGAGTGACAGTGTATCCATAACGTAGCCTGTTGGGCGAGTGGACTAATCGTCTTTGGTATGCGTGACCAAGAGTGACTTTGTGGGAGTTTTCCCCGCCCTTCTGTAGATAGCCTCATAGTTCGGAAAGTAACCCTGCCAGCCCTGATGCACTCGTGCGGACCCACCGCCGTGGTGCCCAACCTCTCAGGGCTGGATGTGGACTCTCGAGACGGCGTAGAGATGATACGATACGACAGCCACCGCTGACCAGATATCGATGTCTCCGACGAGACGTAACGGTAGGAAGACTTCTGCATCAGACACGGGTGTGGAATTCGCCTTGTTTTCTACGGCTCTACAAAATAGCAGATATAATACCACGCAGCCCGAACGAGAGAAAGTGCTGCCTCGTTTCAAGCCCATCCAAACTCCCAGCTCCTCGTCAAAAAGGCCCCAATCGGCCAGGACCCAGCCATGCAATTATAAAGGCAAAAGGGGGGGTAGATCAAGAAAACAACAAGCCTAGCCAAACTCCTCAGAAGCATCATGTCCGCCAACCATACCCATCCTTAGTGTCATTATCAGCCATCCCAATGCGCAGTCCTTCATGGCCTCCCTAAGCAGCAGCAGTAGCCAAAAGCTTGTTGAAGCCCAGCTTGGCGAACAGGGTATCCATGGCGACCCATTGCCTGCCGCACTTGTCGAGATACTTGTCCACGACGCCCTTGACCGTGCCGAAGCGAACGCGGTTGTGCTCCGCCATGGCGAGGATCTTGTCCTTGTTTTCGGGTGAGAGGTCGCTACCGCTCTCGGCCGAAGCCTTGCTTTTGGCCTTGTCAACATCCCACAGGCTGGCGTAGTACACGAGCTGGTTATAGATGGCCTTCTCTGTGTATTCGTAGCGCATCCGGCCGAGGCAGTCTCGAGCAAGGCCCTTGGGGCCCAGACAGCGGGTGCCGTAGACATTCATCTGCCGCGTGCGCATGCCGCAGGCGGAGTCGTCGCATACCAGCCAGCCCTCGTAGTACCGTGCCGTCTGGGTGCGGAGGGCATGTTCGAGCTGTGCCACGATCGAGAGAGTCGAGATGGCGGCGCCGCATGCGCCGCAGAGCACGCCCGATGCCGAGACGCGGTCGGGCTGCGCCACCAGACCCTCGAACACCGAAGAAGCCTTGCACTTACGGCAGCGAAGAGATAGACGAGCGCACTCGGCAAAACGGACATCATCGGGAACTTGAGACTCTAGAGGGTGTATCTCCACGTCGTTGCTCGAACCGCCCTGGTGCTGGTCCTGAACCGACTTGTACCTGCGAATATCCAGTCCCAGGCATTCTGCCAGTTGAGAGCTCGAGGTACCGATGATGTTCGCGCAAAGACGCTCGACTGGTGGGAAGATTTGCTTGCCAAGGTACCACTCGACGTCTGGGGAGAGGCCAGAGTCGGCCTTCATAACGTCTTGCGGCGTATACGCTCTCTTTGGGGCAGGGTCAGAGCTTTGTGAATCTCCGGTGATGATGTAGGAGATAACATCGCCGCGACGGATGTTTTTTCCCTTGGCAATCTCCCTCAGGGCGACCTGGACCTGGGGCATCGAGTCTGCATTGGGGTATTCTGTGGGAGCTTTGCCGAGCTGCGTGAAGATGATGTACTTCTGCGCCGGGATTGCCTGCTCGCGCATCTTGCCAGAGATCTCTCTGAGATATTCGTGGATACGAGCGATAGACTTTTCGGTTTCGTCGCCGGAAAGTATCTCGTTGAGAATCTTGCTGGAGATCTCCTTGGACAGACCGCAGTACTCGCGACGCTTCATGTCAAGACCCTTGACCTCCATTTTCTCAATGAACTTGCCGTCCTTCTCAACCAAGTTGATGGCGGCGTACTTCTTCTTGGCCTGAAGCAGGATTCGACGGAAGACGTTGTCGATGTCGATCTCAAGAAGCCTGTACCGCTCGTTGACGGCCTTTTTGAACTCTTGGCCAACCTTGAAGGCATCCGATACGTTCTCGACGTTGGCATTGATCATCACGGAATCTGTGTCTCCGTAGATGACCTGGAGCTGGTTGCTCTCGGCGAGATCCTTGGTGCTGCGTAGAATCTCGCGACCCTTGTAGGTGGTCAAGACGGCAAGGGGACGCGCGTAGAAGCGGGACTTGGTGTATCCCAAGCATCCGTACATGGAGTTGGCTGTAAGTTTCAGAGCCAGTTGCTTGATGTCCCAGGTGGCAAGCTGTTCCGGCGTTGCACTCTTGTCCTTCATCAGACCCTTGACTTGTTTCCTTCGGCTGACAAGCGTGGCAATGAGCCTAGGCAGAATACCTTGGTCCTGGTCCTTGGGGACTTCGGGCACGACATCCTCATCCTGTTCCTGATGTACGTGTTAGTTTCTAATGCTAGAGCCATGGCGACGGGGAAACCTACCATTGCGGATCTGTCCACAGTCGTGAAGCAAATATTGTACTCCTGGATAATGGAGGGGTAGAGTGAGTTGAAGTCCATTACTAGGACAAACTTATCATATAGACCCTTCTCGGGTTCGAAGACAAGACCACCCTTGTACTTGTCCTTCTTTTTGCCCTCACCCTCGTCGTCTCGGTTCTCCTCCTGGGCCATTCTGCCCTTGAAAGTCTGCTTGTCAGGGCAAATATACTTGTTGCGATGGAACTCGTGGAGCAAAATATACTCGTTCCGTTCTGCACGGGTACCAGTCAGGGTTCTCGCCCAAGAGTTACCGGCCAAATTGGTGAGGACCTTGGTCAAAGGGAGGAGTTGGACCTGTAAGGCCAGCGCGGTAATGAAGTGGGTGTCGGTTTCCATGTGGGTTACGTAGTTCATCATGCCCTCCTTGGACTGAGTCGCCCAGGTCTTGAGTGCGGCTTCGTTGTCGATATCTTGTCTACGGTTGTTACCCGGCAGATAAAGACTGCACATTTCCGTCAAGCTCCACGACTGACACTTGTACATGGCAGACTTTCCGGCATCGTTGGCAAGGTCGCAAAGCAGACGGCCGGACATGACCTGTCTCTCGGCGAAGACGTTGCCGCCTACCTTGTTCATAGAAGCCGGCCACTGTGTGCGCTTGAGCCGACCAAGACGAGACCATTGGTGAGTTTTCTTCTCGTGCAAGCGGTTAAGCAGAACACTGTAATCGACACCTTCCAGCTGATGCCCAAGAATGACGTCTGGATCTACAACATCAAGTTGGGCAAGGAAGAACATCAGAATCTCGGATTCTTGGCGGAACGTCTTGATGAGTCCTCTTTTCCGTTCCTTTGCGAATGTCTCGAACCCAAGAGGAAACGCTGTTCCATAAGGTCGGATAAGAGTGAATGTCCGGCAAGGGAGCTTCTCAGCTGGGGTGGTGTCATTCAAAGATGCCTTCTCGTAGATTCGGGCACTGATCGCAAGGATTTCTTGCTTGTTCGCCTTGGCATTGAAGGCCGTACGCAAGGCGATACTCATCAAGGTCAGGGGCGGTGTGTCAAGGTTGTCGGAGGACTCGTTGAGCGTGGAAACCATGTTGGGGTGCTCAACCAGCACCTCGAGCTTACAGTGCGATGCATTCTTGAGGGCACCGAAGTCGGCGTCGGTAATCTTCAACCAGCAAGGACCCATTATGTTTTTCCACAGCACAAACTGCTCGAAGAGCGCAGTGTTTGTCCCGAAGACATGCGAAAAAGTCTCGCCTGTGGTCGAACCATCGATGACAGGCTCTAATTTCAATTAGCATTGCTCCCTAGTTATTCCGTATGAGAACTTACTTGTGTATGGGTAGAGACACTTCAGGTACTGGGCTTCTTTGGGAATCCCCGGCAGCTCGAAGGCATATTTGCGGGTACAGGCCTTGATCTTGTACATGCCAACATTCATCTTGGTCATGATTGAGTCGACCTCGGAGTACACGTCCATCAACTCGACTTCCTCACCACTGTCTTCTCCGTCTTGTACCTTTGTTTGGCGAGGAAGGAAAAATAGCTTGCGGAGGATGTTGTCAATCTTGATGAAGCAACTGACGTACAGCCCAGTCTTTTTGTTCAAGACTTTGCCGAAAAGGCAGAGACTCCCATTGACCTCAGTGTAGTCGGTCCAAAACATGTTGAGACTGCCGTCTTCCTCAACCGCGTCCTTGTAGTCCATCTTGCCAACGGTTCTAGCCTCCGCAGGAGAGCTTGTGACGACGTTGAGCTGGTCTGTAATGGTATTCCAGGCGGACGAGTCGATTGCCGCGGCAGCAGGCTTGACCGGGGACGAGCTCATAGGGGTCGGGTAGGGATCGGGCTTGACCAACTTCTTCGTTGGCCTCGAGCCCGCAAGGTTGACGCTGGCAGCGGTGACCGCACCGGCGTGAGCAACTTCTATCATGTCCTCATCCTCATCATCGTTGGGATCTTGCTTAACCAGACCCTTGCGCTGGGCTACCCTGGCAGCAGGAGACGATGGCGCAGGGTCGGACATAGGAACATCATCCGCTGCGATTGGGGCAGGGCTGTTGTCCCTGTCATCGCCCATGGGTGGGAGATAGCCGTCGTCGGCTGCCGAGTCGTCGACAGTGGGGGACGATAGTCTGTCATCCACAGTCTTTGTTCTCTTGGTGACGCGTGGTCTGGTCTCGGGAGCGGGCGAGAGAACGCGGGCTCGTCGTCGTTCTGGGGACCTGTTGCGCTTGGCCGAGCGGGAGATGGGAGCAGGAACGTTAGCATCGACCTCGCCTAGCAAATCGGCAAGGAATGCGTCGTCCTCTTCTGTTTTGACAACCTGGGTACGGTGTCAGTAGCGCCACTTTCACGAAGCTGAGCGCATCTCACGAACCTTCGGCTTTGCTTGGGCCTTGGCGGCACCCTTTGTAAAGTATTCACTAATGTCTCTGTCATTGGCGTCTCGCTTGGCATCCTCGTCCTCGCGCTGCTTTTTTGCTGCTGAGTGTCAGCAGGTCCTATACATCAAGATCGAGGAGACAATGGCTCAGCTTGCTTACATGCTTTGCTTGGCCTGCCTCGGCCCTTCATTGGCATTTCATCCTCACTATCCGAGTAGTACTGGGGAGCACGATCCCACTCCTCCCGACCATCGTCGGCATATCCCTCGCCATTGTCGTCGACTACGAAGTCGTCCTGGTCCAGGCGATCCCGGATAATCTTTTTATATTGGTTCTCGTCGACTTCCTCGTACAGCTCTTCAACCTCCTCGACTTCGTAGTTGGCTCTCTTGCCGGCCGCTCGGAGAGCCCGAAGCTCTGCCAGCTTCGAGCGCCTGTCGATTTTGGGCATGATGGGCAGGCGTGATTGAGGACACAGGGTATTATTGAAAGGTTTCAGAGTCTCAAAGAGAAGTGCAATTCATGGCATAAGTGAATACCAGTACCGGCGATCTTGGACTGAGAAAATGGACGTCTTCGGTTGTGTTTCGGCTGGAGAGCGGAGTACGATTGTTGTGGGTGGGATACACAGCGGCACGGATTCATATGCACTATAATTTGGCAGATGGCCAGGGGCGGCGCGCGCAGAAATCGCGTCTCGTGTTTGGCGACGCGTCGCTTTGCTGGGCTGCTTAATTAGCTCCATGGACCTTGGCTCGATTGGTCCAGCTGTCGTTATGGTGGGGTAGTGGTGGAAGTGGCCCGCCCCGCAACCAACGTCAATGGGCTGCGCGACACGCTAAGCCAAACCATGTAGGATTCGTACCTTGTACCTCAATCGGTCATTGAGGATTGCCGATAAGATAAGGAGCTCTGGCAACTGATCGCAAAATTTCCCGTCGCTGGCCCCAAAGGCGAACATCACAAACCTCGATCGTCCACCATACTCCAAAGTCAACTCAGAATGTTGTCTTGCAAAGCGTGCCTTAGACATGCGCTTCAGCCAATCGCCAGCAAAAGTTCTTTTACAGAAGCATCTGCCACGATCACCACTCTCCAGCATGGCCTCCCACTGTACCGTCAGCTCCAACAGCGATCCCATACTACAGCCGCCGGCACCGCTTTCTTGAAGGAGGCGCGGAAAGGCCCAGAAACCCCCCAAGATGACGAAGACATTATCAAGAAGAACAGGAGGCGGAAGTTGGAGTGGGCTGTTGACCAGCACCTCAAGTACATAGACGACCCCTTCAAGATCGCTCAGCAAGTTGAGGCGACTCTCAAGAAGGACCGCTTCGATGAGGCCCTCCTCCTTGTTCACCGCGCCGGCAAGACCAAACAGGTCGTCGTGGCCTGGAACCACCTGATCGAGTACCAGATCCGAGACAAGAAGCGCGTAAATGCCGCCATCAAACTCTATAACGATATGAAGAAACGGGGCCAGCTGCCCAACGACCGTACCTACACCATCCTCCTCAGCGGCTGTGCCAAATCGCCCGACCCGAAAGCTGCCGTGCCCAAGGCCGTCGCCCTGTACAACTCGCTTCTCAAAGAAACCTCACGCGTGCGTGCCAACTCGTTCCACCTCAACGCAGTGCTCCAGGTCTGCGGCCGCGCGGGCGACGTTGACGCCATGTTTTCCATCGCCGAAACGGCCGATGGCCGCGCCGGCCGCAAGACCACAGCATACACGTACACGGCCATCATCAACACCCTGCGCGCCGAGGCGGAGAGCCCAGCAAATCAGAAGGACCGGTCCCTTCAGGAGACCGCCGACGCGACGGCGCAAACGATCAAGAGATGCAAGGCCATATGGGAGGAGGTCCTGCGCAACTGGCGCAAGGGCACCCTGGATCTCGACGAGGACCTGGTCTGCGCCATGGCCCGTGTGCTGCTCCTCGGCGGTAGGAAAGAGAAGGCTGAGATCATGCCCCTGCTCGAGCAGACCTTGAGCGTTCGCGACATGACCCGCGAAAAGCCCGACAAGGACTATCCACTGCGCATGAACGAAGGTATGAAGGGCATCGCCACCGCCGACTCCGCGCCTCGGAAACCCGTGCCCTCGACTAAGCCGAGGATCACTTATGCTGTACCGCGGGGCAACACCCTCTCCCTGGTTCTCGAGCTCCTCTGCGAAAATAAGCAGGCCAAGCTGGCTGTGCAGTACTGGGAGCTCTTCGTCTACTACTACGGCCTCGAGCCCGACTCGGACAATTGGCACCAGCTCATCCGAATCTACGAGCGCAACGGGTCGAGCCGCGACGCCGCCAAGGCGGTGCTCAAGCTTCCCGACGAGACGATACTGCCCATGATGTACCGCCGCGCTCTGTCAGCCTGCATCAAAGACAACATGAACCAAGCCGCCTTTGAAAACGCCAACCTCATACTGGATAAGATGACATCTCGCGCCTCCGCCTCCAAGGGGGCCACGCCCCTCGATGTGCGCGCCCTTCACCTGTACCTCAAGGCCGCTATGGTGTCCCACTTTCACTTCCGCAAGATGGCCGAGGGAGGCAAGGTCGAGGAGGCGAAGCGCGCGTACGGCGAGCAGCTCGCCACTGCGGTTAATAAACTATGGGCCCCCTTCACCTCCGCCAAGGACGCGGCGGTCAAGACAACTACAAAGGCGGGAGGAAAGCTACCGTCTAAGCCACCGATGAGGCGCGACGCGGCAATTCAACAGCTTGTCGAGCTCGCCCGCAATATGGTTGGCGCCGTCGACAAGGTCGTCAACGAGAACAGACTCGCCGACGACGAGGCCGTCGAGAAGCTCAAACAGAAGCGCAATGACCTCAACCGCTTCGTGGTCGAGTTCACCGACCCGAACCAACAGAAGGAGGATGCCGCCTCGGATGATGCGCTCATGGAGCGCGCCGGGGGAACGATGTGGGAGATCTGAGCGACTCACGTCCATTTTAACAACATGTATAATGATGTCGGCGCCATGTACCATCAGATAGAACAGGCTTTGCGCGGCCTTGTCACACTACACAATACCCAAATCTATAATGCCAGATGTTGAAAACATGGTTCTATGCATGCAGCTTTGGATGCGGTCAATAGGTAGTCGTTCATCTGCCTCGGCGGCTGGGAAAGAAGAAAGTAGCCAGCAGTAGTTTGAGGGGGAGGGGGGGCTCTGCAACTCACGACGACCGCAATTTGTAGAGAGAAGAGAAAAATATGAAAGACAGCTAGTTCACCTGGTCTAATAATTGTACACACGCTTCCTAAAAGGAAAAAAGGGCGTGGTTCCCTGGCCTCGACGGTCTATTGAGAGACCCAGAGGAGTCCTCTTCTCACTCCCTCGCATCGCGCTTAGAGGAACCGGGACGCACGTCCACCAGACACGAGTCGCCTAGGTATTCAACCCTTCCCAAGTCTTCCCAATCCGCCATTGAAAAACGCCTGAAGCAGAAGATCCCCTTGTTTTTGAATGTACCTCATCTGAGCCCGCCAGCCCCTTTCTTCTCTTCACATCCCTCATCTGCGTCCACCACGGTCGAACCCGCGGCCTTTGCGGGTACCGCGACCACCGCCGCCGCCTGCATTAACGATCCGATCGCTGTACAGAGTGCCATCATCCTCCGCCATCTGCTCAGGGAATCCGTTCGTGCCGTCGACGACGTGACTCGACGCCGACCAAACGTTTGCAGGGCGCGAGCCGTTGGCCGCGACGGGCTCCTTATAGCCGCCAGGCTTGGGGTAGACCTTGATGATCCGTCCGTCGGCCTGCGGTTCCCAAATCGTTAGCATTCCATGTTCGATCTCGCCCCCCTTGGGGTCAGAGTGAAAGAAAAGACACACCGTCTGGTTGTTGAACGTATTAATGACCGCATCCCCGCCCTCCTTGGTCGCAAACACCATCTCCGCCACAATCAGTGGGCTGGTCTTGATGATCCGACAACTCAGCATCTCCCCGCCGACGGGCGTCATCGCGCTCTCGATGTCCGCCGCCGTCGTCCCAGGCGCAAAGTTCTGCGCCATAACCGCAAACGGCCCCGCCAATCCACGTATCGAGAGACCCTTTTTCACGGCGGGGCCGGTCGGCGCGCTGGAGGTAGTCTGCACATCGGCCATTCCGCCTGAACGCTCAATCGCCGCGGCGACCTTGGCAGCCCTTTGCTCCGTGCGCCTGTCGCTCCGCCGGTTGTTCGCGGCTGCGCCAGGTGCGGACCTGCCTCCCGGCGCCGAGATGCGCGAAGCAAGACCGCCCGCGCCACCGTTGCCTCCGTTCACGGTCCCGTGCAGGTCGTGTGTCCAATCGCCATCGATGTTGCCGGCAGGGAGTGCCTTGGGACCGAGGGAAGCGGTGCGCTGCTGATCGAGGGGGCGGAAATGTCAGCATTCGTAGCTTGCAAACAAGCGGCCGGTGGAGGAAAGGGAGCCCTACCTTCTTCACGCCGACTCGACTTGCAAGCGACGGACCCGCGCCGGGCTTGAGCTTGCTAGGGGCGCTCTGCCGTCTATCCTTGGAGAATATCTTTTGTGCCAACGCCTCGTTCTTCTTCCTCTCTCGTCCTGCAGTTGGCAAAAGAGAACCCCCTTTAGCGACTAATTCGAAGAGTGATCGCGCTGAGGGTCGTAACAGGGAGAGTGGTTTCTACCTTCTTGGATGATTCGCTCAAAGTCAGTCGCGACTTTCGCCATTGTGCAGGCTTCGCTCGTCGGTGATTGCGGTGACTAGATACGGATGGAGACGTCTTGAGATTGATTGTGTCCGTCAACAAAACAAACAGGCCGAATGCCAGCGAAACGAGTATGTAAAGTTGCTCGAGGCCGATGCGCTAGCGATAGCAATGTATTAGGTAGCCGAGGAGGCAACCTAAGGGGTTATTTTGCTCGGTTCGGTAACAAAGCCGTGCAGTAAAGAGGAGATGCCGCGAACAGGCAGGCAAGATAGGTTTCGGAAAAGGTGTACCTTGGATACGGATAGACCCTAGTGATTATGGGAAACAAACTTAACTTGAGGCTGACCTGGGTGCTAGGCGCGCGTTGATTTGGAGGTCGTGGAGCGTGTTCAGGGGTCTCCACTCTTAGACGGTAAAGCGGTACGTACCCCATCATAGTCCTGGATCGCACTGCGGGTGTGGCCATAGAATCCGTGATCCCAACTTCGACCTTAATCAGGTCTAATTGTTGCTCTACTCTGTACAACAAACTTCGGGATACTGAGACTGTGTCCCATACTAAGCCACTTGCGGTATCCATACTGGATAGTGCATTTCCACTGATAAACCAGCCACCAACCACTACTCATCCTTCCCATCGTCATCGTCCGAGTCGCCGTGCAAAGACGACTTCGGGTCGTCTTGGCCGCTGTCAGTACCACGCAGATCCATCTTAAAGGACATTCTTCGAGGCACCGTAAGAGAACTACCGCGAGGCTGTATCTCAAGCTGCCTAACGAATGTTAGGCTTTTCGCCTTCCTCTTCAAGTTCTTGTTGCCAGCATCAGAAGGTATGTTGGGAATGTCGGTTCTAACAGTGACAGAATCCTCGCTGCCTTTTCCAGCAGTGGCATAATCTATGGTGTCGTTTCTCGCAGCAGCATCACTGGTGGACGCTTCACCCATGCTTTGGGTTTTCGCCTCGGGTACCCATAATATTCTCTTGCCTGAATAGATGTGAACCTGATCTCCCTTCAGACTACGGCGGACCTCCAGCTGTCTCCCATGTCGAGGGATTTGAAGGTCGCACGTGCGCTTTGTGTGCATGGAATCAGCAGTGTCGTTTGTGGGTGACACCTGCAACAGCTGATCCGATCGAGTTCGGCCCAAACGAGGCTTGGCTATCGAGGCTGATGCCAGTGTATTGCACTTAGACACCGACAGGGCATCAGGGTTGGTAGATTTGTTCCACACCAGCTCATGTCCGGTATGAAGGTCTACCATTCCTGGCAATACCAGGTGATGCGTTCTTTTCCCCTTCGTATCGGTGCGTTCGGCGATGGACGTTAGGGGCGTCTGTACGGCTTGGTCTCTCCGATGCGGGCTCGTAGGTGTGCTTGTTCGCAGATGTTGTGCCGAGTGGTCGGTGCTGGATTTCTCTGGGTCGGATCCAAGATTTACCTGGATGCTAGATGTCAAATTCCCTGAAGGCGGTAAATGTGGCAGTATGGGAGGGGCACTGTCGAGGGTAGTAGGATCTTTTGCCAAGGATTGCGTCGAAAGACTGGAACCCATCGTGTTCCCAAGAGCCTCCCGGGATTTGCTCCCCTTCTTGAGCGTATTGCGAGCTCTGACAGAACCAAATATGTTTCCCAAGCTGCGGCGTTTGAGTAAGCCTGGACGCTAGAGTCAGTAGCAAACAAGAGAGGGAACGAGTTGCTATCACACCTTTGTTCTTGTCATGGTATGACGATGCCACGTTGACATCAGTGGCAGACTTAGAAGGCTGAAGCTTGAGACGATCGGGTCGGTTAAGCAGCTTGTCAAACCGTTTATCCCATTTCTCAGCGAACCCCCCCCTTTTCTTGTTGACAGCATCGTGTTCGAGGGCAAGCATCTCATCAAGACTAATGCCTCGTCTGGCCTGCTTGCCAAGCATTTTGGAAAGTGTCTTTCCCCAGGAAGCTCTGAGGGCAGAGCGGATGGAGCGGCCATTCGTATTTTCGGAAGAGTTCACAGTGGTGTTGGCACTCGATTGAACCTTGTCATCTTCAGCCGAGCCAACGTTGGAGCGATGTTCGGACAGAGATGCGGATGAGGCCCTGAGAGGGTTAGAGCCAACCGGGTTCTGTTTTGCAGAGGGATTCTCCATCGCTGCAGGCGTAGGATTTTGGTCAACAAAGATAGAGGTTGTCTCTACCGAAGCGAATGAGAGTATCGGTATATAGGCCCGCGGCGTTGTCTAAAGCTAGTCGGTAAAGCTTGGAAATCCAAAAAGAAGCACGACGTCGTTCTCGCGGCGATAAAGCCAAGATGTGGTGACAGTGTATGAGGAAAGGCTTAATGGTCGAGACGAGGAGTCAGAGACATTCGGCTGCCCTGCAAGCCCACGTCAATAGAGAAAGTTTGGTAAAGACTTTGTTGGCAGCTGCCAGATACAGATACATGGGAAAGCTATGATGACAGAAAGACGACTCCGTTGGCAACTCGACTCGAGAATGCTCAGCCACTTGGCGAAGCAGAATGCAGGTACGGTATGTAATGTCAACGTAAACAAATGGCCGATGGCAACAGCAACGTTGATAATAGGGGAAAGCCATAGACCAACCCTTTCCTCCGACTCTTACACAGGTAAGTCCAGCCCCTTTTATCTTCGACATTGGTTGAGGAGGGAGGCAAGTGCACATGTTGCGGGTCGGTAACCTCGTCGTCTCCTATGACATCAGCGTCACGTCCGCACTGGTCAAACAACTTGTAAAGCCGCCCCTGCTATATCCGGGACCCTTCTGAACATCAGGAAGCCAAAGTAGGTAAGTAGGTAGGTACTTAGGAACGGTGCGTATCAAGGCGTGTCTCGTGTGTGTCGTTGCTGGCCGTTTGTTCCTTCCCCATCTCCCCCACGAAGGCTTCTTTCCATGCCAATCCAGCAATCATCATCGTCCAACCTTCCTCATGCGTCATCCCATCAAAGCTCCCGTCCATGTATATGTCGCGTCACTCTGCTGCAGCCCAGTATGAGCTGGACACCGCATTTCCTTAGATGGCCCCTTTGCAACCGGTCTTATATGGCAGTCTTGACAGGTTCGCTTCTTCGAGGCCACCGGGTATCTTACATTAAACCAATTGCGGTCTGCCAGCTCAGGGCTCTTTCCGCTGTCGTCGCCCTAATTCTGGAATTATCGCAATAATCTCTTGGGGACTGCCCTAAGGTCGTCGCCGGGAAGGAGGAGGGGTAGGGTTCCAGGCGACGGAGGGGCCGACCACCGATGCGTATGAAACTGAAGAGGCATTGTCTCGAAAAGTTCAGAGACGTGCGGTTGAGCCATCAGAAATCAATGCCAAGGGTTCTGCTGGTTTCCCATGAATCCTTCCTCCAGCGTTCGCTCCTCAAGATTGCGGATGAAATCCCGGTTGCCTCTTCCTCCTTGCTGCACACGGCTTCCTCGTCTACCTGCTCGTTGGGCCGCGTTCTCCATACCGGCCATGCCGCCGTCCGCAGGAGGGGGATAGTAAGCAGGGCTGGGTTGCAGGCGAATCGGCTGGCTGGGGTCAAGGTGGCTCGCAACGCGCTGGATGGCGGCCGGGATGCCACTTTGCTGCTGCTCCATGGTCGAAGCACGTTGGCGCGCCGGTCGCATGCCTTGCTGGGGGTACAGACCGGGCTGCTGAGACATATTGCCATAAGGGCCGGGAGGCATTTGCGCCGGCTGTTGCGTCATGACCATCTGGCCATAGGCGCCTTGCTGGGCCCCGTAGGGTGGTGGTTGAGCTGCGTGGCTGCTGCTCGGCGTGTACATTTGCTGGTTGTTGTAGATGGGTGGCTGCTGAGGGTGCCCGGGTTGTTGGTATTGAGAGGCCATCTGTGCGTAGGCCCCTTGTGCAGCGGAGTTCGCCTGCGCTTGAGCTGCCTGTGCTCTCTGCTTGCTCAACGCTTCGGCTTGCTGCTGCTGCTGCGTGCCTGGTGCCGGAGACCGGTTGAGGGAGCTGGACTTCAAGTTCATTGGCGGTACAAAGGGTCCAGTAAACTTTTGCTGGGTAATGAACGGGTGCAGCTTGGCCTGCTGCGGCGACCAACGTTCCAAGGGGTTGATGTTCAGCAATCCTCTGACAAAGTCGATGAAGGCGATTCTGTTGTTCATTTCTACCCTCCGTGTTAGTGAGTGCCACATAAGCGGTTCGCGTGTCGCTACTTACCTCTATCGATCTCGCTCTGCTTCATGTTCTTGCGAGGCATGGGATAAGATTTGATGATCTCCGGCAGAGTGTTTGCCTGGAAGTACTTCTTGCTCGGTTGCTCCTTGGTCGAATGCTCCCGGGCATATTGCTCCATGCTCTTCAACTGGTACGTCCGTCGGCCGAACTCGTCCTGCCTCTTCTCGAAAAACTCGCCGGCTTGCTTACCCATCTCGATCATCCAGTTTGGCGGGTTTCCGAGCATGTCGACAATTCGCGAAACTTGGTTGTACTCGGACGAGCCGGGGAACAGCGGGAGGCCTAGGAACAGCTCAACGACAATGCAGCCGAGAGACCACATGTCGATGGCTGACGAGTAAGGCAACCCCAACAAGACTTCGGGGGATCGATAGAACCTCGATTGAATATAGGTGTAGACTGTTTGCCGTTCGTCGCATGCCGAACCGAAGTCAATGATCTTGATTATGGGGCTCTCGAGGTTCTTGAGCAGAATGTTCTCGGGCTTCAGATCGCAATGAATAAGCCGCGCCTTGTTCAAGAGGGCCAGACCATTGAGAAGTTGCTGAGCAAAAACACGGACGAGAGTCGTGCTTAGACCTCGGAACTGGTTCTGCTTAATCAACTCGTACAGGTTGACACTGAGGAGCTCGAAGACCAGGCACAAATGCTGGCGGTGGATAAAGGTGTCTTTGAGCCGCAAAAGGTGATGGTCATCGTTCTTATCGAGCTTTGTGTTGAGCTGAAAAAGTTCAAGTTAGATGTGATGACGTGTGCTGGAGGAACAGGTCAAGCTTACCAAGTCCAAAACCGACACCTCCATCATACTCTGGTTGAAATACGCAGTGCGGTTCTTGATGACCTTGACAGCAACCACTTCTTGCGTCTTTAGGTTCTGACACTTGACAACTTGACCGAAGGTGCCCTGGCCCAAAACGTCGAGAATGAGGTACCGGTTCCTATGTCACAACTCAATACAAGTACGCTAAGGAGGTAACGGAAAAGGGCGTCTCCGCGCTTGCCGTGAACATACTTGTGGCCGGCTTCTTCTGAGCCCAGAATATCATTCACGTAAAGGATATAGTCGCTGTCTTCGTTGTCGTATCCATCGTTCTTGACGCCCTTGCTCGGCTTGGTCAGAACCCGGCGAGGGTTACGCGACGACTCGTACTTGAAGTTCGGGTTGCATATCCTATAGGTGGCGGGGAGGTGCACTGTCAGAGCTTGGAGGGGCTGAGAAAAGTGCGGGTCAGCTTCGGTTATTTCATTTGCAAGAGTGGACATATGGGCTTACGCTGATGAATCCTCCCTCTGGGTTCGCGCGCCGGAAAGGAGGCTGGGCGTTGACTTTGGGACGAAGGTCGGCCGGGGCTCTGCATTGCCTGAATTCGGGAGCAGGCCCTCGGGGCATGTTCTGCGGGATCGGGCGGCGCGGGGATTTGGGATCGGTCGCAAAAGCGCCGTCAATATTGGCAACGACGGCGGACGGGTAGCCGTCGTGAGCAGAGCCGTAAGGCGTAATCGGAGGGAGCTGCGGAGGCTGCTGGCGTCCACCATAGTGAGGACTCTGAGGCATGTAATCGGATTGCCTCGTAGGAGACTGTCGTTGACCCGGGGGTGAAGCGAACTGGCCTTGCGCGGACTTGGAGGTGTAGGGTGAGGTGGGGGACAGAGCCTCCATTGGCGAGTATCGTTGGGCAGCAGCAGATGGCTCCTGGGGCGAGTAGAGAGTGGAGGAGCGGCTGCCAGAGGCATGAGACTGATGATGGGGTCTCATGGGGTACTTCATGCCAGTGTACGAGTCCGGGACATCGTGCATGGGAATATCGCCGTTGTTATCGCGCATCTGGGGGGTGGACATGGGCGATGTGGCAGCGCTGGCGGCGCTGGCGGCGTGAGAAGAGATGCCGCCCGGGCTCTGGTACTGGTCGTATTTGAAGCCGGCAGGCGGCTGACCTTGCGGTGCCGGTTGGCCATTGTAATCCCCCCGAGGCATCTGGGCGCCACTGCCATTGTATCTCCTCGCAGAGGCGGCCGAGTCGGCATAGCCCTGCTGCCACTGGGAGTCCATGGCAGGAGGGGAGCGATGTTGACTCGGAAAGGAGGACGATGTAGTCGGTCGGGGTCGGTTTGGTTTGGATGGCGGCGGTTTGGGTGGTGGTGGTGGTGGTTGTTGGGAAGGGGAAAAAGGGCTGGCCGAGCGGTTTAGCTGATGTCGTCGGGGGTTTCAACTGGGTGCGTTATGCGGGAGAATGGGGCCAAGCTGGACTGGGCTTGGTAAGGTTGGAGGGTGAGTCGCAGAAGCGCAGACTCGCAGGGAAAGCAAGGCAATGGAGAATGGAGCGAGCGTCAAGTCGCTGAGCGTAGACGGTTGCTCTGTCGTGTCCCGGCCCGGACTGGTCCGTTGGTGTGGTGCTGTGCAATATGGATGGCACTGGGCAGGTTTTGAGAGAGACGGGGATGGGGATGGCCGTATGGGGGGGCTACGGTGCTGTACGTGGTAGACAGTCAGGCCGATCAAGGTACGGCTGCTTGAGTTGTGTGCAGGTTGACTGGCTCAGGAGGCAGCAGACTCCATATGGAGTGTGAGTGTGGGAACAGTTTGCAGAGTGCAGACTCCAGTCCAGAGGAATGGATGCGCAGTCAAGCGAGCGAGCTCTGAGGGTTGCCAAGGAGAGTATTTGGCGGGATTGGGCTGACACGGCCCAAACTCTCTTAGGGGAAAATAAGAACCCCTCAAACTTTGCTCCCACTAACAATTCATCATGGTAATTAAGGGCGGCAGGCTACAAGTAATTCGATGCCCAGCTTATACGACGGGAGAATTTTGCTGTTTCTAACGACCATGTGCGTTGGAGGGGAAAGGCGGCGATGGCATGAACAATAGAGCGACCAGAGGGGGGGCAAGAGGAGGGACAATTGTGTTGAAGGAGGGGGGGTGGCGGCTCGCGAAGGGAGGAGGAGGGGAGGGGAGGGGAGGGGGTTTGATGGTGGAGAGGGTTGACGACGTGGATGCGAGCGTCTGCAACGATGGTTGCTTGCGACATACCTATCTACCTACCTTAGGTAGGCTTGGTCAACTTTGGGCGTTAGCGAGAAAGAACAGTATGGAGACTGAGGGGAGGCGGCGGGCGCACGGGCGAGGGCGGGGGGAGGGACTGACGGAGTTGGAGAGGACAGACAAGGGGATGGATTCTGGTAGATAGGTAGGTAGGTAGGTACCTTCGCACCAGATGGAGTTGAAGGGGTACTTTGAGAAGCTCTGGGGACAGGAACTTGGTACTTTGTACGTCCGAAATTTGAAGGTCCCCTGGGAAAGAAAGGTGGAGAGAGTCTGGCTTGACAGAACCCAGCGCAGTCAGTGTATATTGCAGTCGTAGCAGCGGCACAATGGCAACTAGGACCCGATCAGAGATCTTGGAGGAGGGGAGGGGAGGGGAGGGAGAGAGAGCACCAGTACTACTACGCGCGAGCTCCCTAGTTAGCTAAAATTTCTGAGCGAACTCCATTACACACCGAAAACTAAAAGCAAATTGCGTCGTAGTCCACTGATCTTCGTCACCCCAGATAATTGCTTCCAACCTTATACGTGTAGAAGTAACCTGTCGATTACATGTCAGGTTGTAAACGGAGCCTGCTTCGCGACGAGAGTTTCGGGCATAGGGTAGTAGGCT